AAAGAATTTAAAGGGGTTTTGTCCCCCTCACTCTCCTCTCTTTCTCTTCCAACTTCTTCCATCCATACAAAGGGTTAGGGTTAGATAATCAAGTTCCCAATTGGACCCATTAGTTTTCTGCTTGAAACTTCTCGATCGTCTAGGGTTTTGATCAAGGACTAATTATTAATCTCTGATGGCAAAAGATGTTCCAATCGACTTCATCGCATAAATTCTGTGCCTTTTACCTGTCAAGAGTCTCCAAAGATTCCAAATGGTCTCAAAATCATGGTGTTCCCTCGTGCACTATCCTTGCTTCATCTCCTCTCACCTTCAACAATCCGCCAAAACAAACTTCCGAATCTGTTCTCCTTTGCCTTGCTAGGCACACAGATATCTAGTCTGTGATTTCAACTTTTGTTACAGGCTTATTCACGTACATGGTTCATGCAATGGCTTGACTTGTTTATCCATTTTTGATCGATTTCTTGTTATCTCAAATTTATCAACTAAAGATTATCACAAAATTTAGACTGTTTGTTTTTGCTTGAACAATTATCGGTTGTTAGTTGTAATTAAATAAATTAAATATTTTAAATTATAAATAATAATAATTATTGACCATCAAATACTAATTATCAACTATCAAATATACTTGAATAACTAACCCAACCAACCCAGTTATCTTTCTAAATCTAACAAGTCTAATCCTTTTTATGGATTCAGATTCGATTCAGTCATTGTAGTGAAAAAATAATCAAATACATAAATAAATGTACCCATCGGAAGGGTCTCTCCCAGGTATTTCACAAGAAGGTCATTATCACAAGTGACCTGCAAAAATATTAGCTTGCACTCATGCAGAACTGACTGATATGTCCATCCATACACATAAATTTTACACATCATTTATATTTTCACTTTCAATAATTGATTTATTAGGATTTTTAAGTGAAAAAGATAATTAATTTTAATAAATATGAACAATTTCAACTATTTATTTAACTATTAAAAGTGAAGAGATAAATAATTGAGATTTTGTATAAATGTTTTATGTAAGAGCTGTGTATAAGTAAATTCATTCTAAAAAAGAAAATAGTCTATAAATAATTGAATATTTATAACTAATTCATGACAAATTCACTTGAAAATTTGGGTCAAGATTCATTTATGTTTAATAAATCGAAGTGATTATTGATTTAGTACAAACTGAAAAATTCAACTTGATGTTGCAATAAGAAAATTCTTATATAGATCCAGAGTATCCTGTCTCTGATTTGAGGAATAAACAAAAAGTCTAGAGAAACTGTGTGGCTTAAAACTTCTTTAATTAAAACTTTTAAATATCTATTACTAGTGTTGTTATTCTTAAAAGAGATTGGAAAAGAAGTTGAACCTATACCAAAGAGAGAAAAATGTGAAATTTCTACCAAAGATCTAGCAAAATAGGAAATGATCAATCATAATTTTTTTTTAATAAAATATAGAGATTTTATTAAAATTAAAATTAAAGAGATTACAACTAAATTTATATTTCAAGGCACTATAGCTTAGAAATAGAAACACCACCTACAACAACAGTAATAAATTTAAACTATCCACATGATGAATATAAAAAATTAAGTAAAGAGAGCCATCTCAGATAGGGATTGCAAGCATAATTGCTATATAGATGCAATGTATGATAATCAACAGAACTTAGGTTGCATCAACATGCATATTTAAACAATCCCTATAAAAACATACCATTTCAAAAACATTAAAATTCAAGTTTCTTTAAGTCAGGATTCTTTAGATTTTGTTTCTTTAAATTCAATTTTTGAAGTCAAAACATTCTCATCATGTATAAATTTACAGCAAATTTCCCTTCAGCAGTGTTTGAGACTATGCTTAGTCCTGATATTAAGCTTTTATATATTATTTAATAATAATCTTCGCTGCTTTAATTTAAGGGAAACCTGTGGACTTAATACAATGTGGTTCTCCACATATTATTAGTTGGTTTTAATTTAGATATTTATATGGTATCGAAGCCTAAGCCCAAGTTGTTTGAGCAAAACAAGGGGGTGCGTTGATGTGAGGAGAGGTCGTTGTGAGCCAGTCTGTCTGCGCAATCCAAAAGTGTTGTTACAAATTTTCAGCCCTGGAAGGGTTGTTGGAAGCCTAATCCAAGCTGAGGTTGACAATAGCTTGGTGCGGGATGGTTGTTAGACTATGCGACAGATGCACAGATGCACGTGAGGGAACGTGGTGTGTAAAAATCTCATATCTTACGTAGTATAAAAAGAGGAATAAGAAGAGTCAACTCTACCCTCTTCCATTCTTTCTCCCTTCTGTTCCCTTTAACTCTCTAAAAATGAGTATGACTCTGTGACAATTTTACAGATACTTTAACTCTTGAAGGCATTTTGGTAGGTAAGAGTTTTGAATTAAGTCGTTACAATTAATATAATTTTTGTAACATTTTTGTCTATTTTGTAAGTACATTTTACTTAATTTATATCTTTTATATATATATACATGGAAACTTTCTTTGGCTTTTTTTCTCTTTGAGTCTATTTTATAGTAATTACATTTTAACTTGATATATTTATGTAAAAAAAAAAATAGTTTAATTTTAGAATTAATTATGTTTTAAATAAAATATATTAAGTTTGATGGAATATTTTAGTTTTACAATTTTTTATGACAAAGTATTAAAAAATCTTTTAAATCTATTAAAATATCCATAAACAAATTGTTTAATATCACATTTTTTTTATATATTTTATTTTATTAAAAAATAATACATATTAGTTTTGATTTTTTTTTTAAATTAAAGTTTCAACCTTAAACAATATAGTTTCATTTAATTAAAATTTAATTTAAAATTTAAAAAATGAAAAGACACGGATTAATAAATGATCCATCTTCCAAATAATCCAGCTTCCCGCCCTACAATGAAAAGACACGGATTAATAAATGATCCATCTTCCAAATAATCCAGCTTCCCGCCCTACAATGAAAAGACACGGATTAATAAATGATCAACTGGGACAGTAACTGTAACCATCCATGTGATAATGAAGCTAACCTAGTTTACAAGTCTTTAAAAAATTGGAATCTCAACCAGCGTAAAAAAGAATTAGTTATATAATAGAGTGTGAATATCACTTTATCA